AATTATGTGGTAATCCAACATCACCATCGATTATTCGATATCCAAGCGTATACAATTGACAATCAATTTCTACTTCATCATCTTCTGTTTGTGCTCTTATTTCACGAGCGAATTCCTCACCAAGTCCATTGCTTCCAAGTATAACTAAATTTAATTGATTATTATCAGATGTTAATTGCCACTGACTACTGTGATTCCATGAAGAAGGTCTATAAAATTATTATTATTTTAATAATTATTGTTAATTAAAAATTTATTATTTGTTATACTTTTATTATTTAAATCTTACCTGTGAGCTTTTGTTCCAAGTATTCGTTCTATAAGTGCATCCATGCAATTTGGATAAGCTGGACAATGTTCTCTTATAGGACAATGTACAAAACCCAAATGTTGAAATAGCATTAATTTTCTATCTTGATCTAATCTATCTAAAGCTTTATATCTGTACATCATAAAAGATTACTCAAAAATATTTATACATATAATTTAAATAAAAAAAATTAAATTAATTACCTAAAATCATCCACTAATGCATCTGTAATTTCTTTAATATCATCTTGTGTTATAGTACCAGATGGTGCTATACTCTTGAAATGATAGAATAAATCAGCATGTTCTAGCAATAGTTCCTGGAATATAAAAGATTAAAAAATATAATAGAATATTTATTATGTTTATGTTATTATTATGTTAAGACATATATATATTCATACCTGGAAATTATGTTTTGCTTTTTCAATAATTTCTTTTTGATGTTGATCATATATTTCTTGACAATCATGGTGAGAAAGAGCTTCAAAACATTCTCTACCCATAAAAAGAACTCTAACTTCAGATAAATGTTTTCCAGGTGTAACATAACCAGTTTCTTCCAATAACTGTTTAAACTGTTTTTTCCATCTAAGAAATGATAGATTTTTTATATAAATATAAATATTTTTTTATTACAATATAATTATTTTCAATATTTAAAAGATATTTATAAAGTTTTAGATAATTAAAACATATATATAATACTACAAAAATGTTAATACAGATAATTATATATTTTTATGAAAAAATAGTATTCTAAAAGCAATAAAAAGCACAATTTACCTTTTAGGAAGTCTGCACAAAAGAAACGCCACCCAGAATAAAGCAAAGCATTAGTATATTGCACATAAATGTCTAAAATGCTGAATGACTATGTAATTTTAATAATTATGTTAGCAAAAAACTACTTCTTGCTATTTATAAATAGCAAAAATTTAACAAATTATAATGATTATAAAATTCATTAAAAAATATTTGCATATATATTTAATAATTAATTTTAAAAATACTAATACTAACTCTAATCGCCGTTGTTCCTGTTGCAATACATTTATATGATTTTTGAAAACAGTTTCAGCTTCGGGTGTTTCTAAGACATCATAAGGAATTTTTGTTCCATTGTTTTCACCAAAATCACAATCAATCCATGGGATATCCTCAGGACATTCATAGAAATATTGGTGAAAATCAGGATGTTCTTTTATATATTGTTGTACTGCAGACCACTCTCTACATAAATAAAATAAATAGAATAAGCAAAAAAATATTTTTCAATTAGATTTAAATAAATATAATTGGAAACATACTCATTGATCAAATTTGTTATATCAGGACATATTTCATGAAGAATATCAGGTAACATGTCCAAATATCCCTGGATTTTTTTTGCCACTTGTTCATCTTTCAATTTTTTAATATGTCTTCTAAATAATCTTTGAGTTGCATCAATACCAAATAATTCAACAAATGTTGAAAATTCTTTATGTTGAGCTAATTTTTTAGATGCTTGAGACCACAATGCTCTATAATCAGTAACATGTATTCGAATCAATCTTTGTAAAGATTCCGTTGATGCATCTAATAATTCCTTTCTAGCTCTGGCTGCTTCCGCAAATGGAATAACTTTACTTCGCATTTTGGTTTTATCAATCAGTTGAGCCAAAATCATAAATGCCAAATCAATATTTATATTTTCATGTGCAGATGTTTCAATTATTAATATGGAACTTTTGTATTCTTTACGCATCACTAATTTTTCAGCTTCTTTTACATATTGTTCATTAGCATCATCATTTTTGGTTGTTACCAAAACTATTGGTTTTTTAGTTTTCATTAAATTATTCAATATATTTGCTACTATTTCAACCTGTTTTTCTATAGATCTATTTGGTACAACACTTACATCAAATACACACAAAAAGCCATCAATGTTTAATTTACCATCTGGTAAAACTTTTTGTTCATATTCTTTTTCTATGCCTAATTGATTTTTGCAAATATACATAAGCTTTTCTGCACTAGTAATTTTTGTGGCTGCACATCTTTTTGCATAAGGTTCCATTTTACCACCTTTAAAAGGTTGAAAAGATGCATCATCTATAAATTCAGTATGTTCTATCACTTGAAATTGATATTCTGTTCCATCTTCTGCTGTTTTTGTAACTTCACCCCAATATAGGAAATGATCATTATTCACCACCCGACCACTAAAATCTGACTGTTAAAAATAATAATCAATTAATAAGAGGAAACATTGCAAAGCAAACAAACTATATTTAACCAAATTAATCACATGTATATTTAACAATTACCTGTGATAACACTGATATATGGTCCACATTATAATCATCGTTCAAAGAACGCATAAAACGATTACACAGACATGATTTTCCCACACCAACTTGCCCCTTATCTTTCTCTGTACCAGAAAGACCAACAATAGCAACATTGATGGTTTTGATATTATCACTTTTTCTTGCCATTTTTAAAGTTTAATTTGATTATATCATTTATATAATTAAGTGTGAAAATAAAAATCTTTTCTTCATCAAACTTTACTCAGGACATTTTTAAGTACCACTATTAATAGTTTCTCTTATTCATTTATTTTATAGTTATTAAAAACCAATATTTTTTCCTTTGGTCATTGTATATCAAGTCTAGAAATTTATATGAAAATTAGCATTACCTTCCTTTGGTAACATTTTTAACAATATATTTTTTATTTTATGTTTCTTCTTGCTTCACAATATTTGAATATCATGCTTCAAATTTTTGTATGACATGCAAATTTATATGTAAATAATAAAGAAATGTCATTTGCCAAAATTTCATTTGAGCTTAATATAATTATTATTATAACTTTATAAATGATAAAATTACATCATTAGAGAAATTAATATAGATTTTAAGAAATTTTTGCACTTTATTTCTTTATATAAAGCACAACATTCATAATTTAGCACAAGTGTGAGCAATAATTCTTTGGAATGGCACTGATATCTGAAAAAAAATAATATTCACAAATGAATAAAATGATAAACAGCATCATCATATATTATTAAATGTTAGTTGCACTCATGTTGCATTTATATCTTTATTATGGAAATTAAATTAAATATTCATGTTAATATTCACTATTCATTTAAAATTCATATTAATAAAATATATATTTAAAATCACACAAAATTATATTTATCAATATATATATATATATATATATGTATATATCATAAATTATATTGAGAAATACACTAGTAACATTCATAGTAACATACATTTCATAGTAACATTAAAATAAGAGATGAATCAAATAATAAGTAGTCACTATATACAAAATTAATTTTTATACTAATTTATAATTTCCTAGAAACAGAAATAAATTATCTCCTATATTATACAGGTTATGGATTCAATGAAACGGAAATCAAAAATCTCTTTATAAAGAATTTTTTGCATTAATCTTTACATATATGATTCAAAACTTGTTTTTTTTTTAATAATAAAAAGATCAATACAATAATTTTTCATGAACATTAATGTTAAAAATAGTTTCAAATAAACGATTATTTTTTAATAAAATTACAAAAATATTTTGTAATAATGACAGAGTATTTCTATCATAATGGAATAAATAGTTTTAGTCTTACAAAAGAAACAAATTAAAGTTATAGACTTCATATAAAATTTACGAGACATGATTCATGCAGCAGAAACAAATTATTCGATATACAAATGACAGCTACGAATAGATCAATATGCATTGTACACAACCGCGGTCAATTTTAACACCGATGATAGTTTTGGGATTCAACAAATTTTAATAAGATATATAACCAATATATATAATATGCTGGAGCTTATCTAAACAAAATCAGAAAACTAATCAAAATATCTTACTCGATGTAGTAAAGGCTATGTTACCTGTACAGATTTTTGTTCAGCAAGCGAACTATTATACCAACCGGCCGTCCTGTATAATTTTTTCTTCAGGAACTCGATCGATTCTTCACTGCTATAGAACACGCACTCTTTCTTGATCTGTTTCACGCACACGGTGCACAGAAAGACATCTACAACTTGTCTCAATGAAGGCTTAATTCCAGGTGTGTAAATAACTTCACGTCAAACACCTAGAATTGCCCCATAAAGGAGCCATTTTGGTGGGTGGGCACAAGGATTAATGTTTTCAGACTAGATAGTATATGTCGAACAAGAACAAGGCCGTATCTAGCATATTTTCTATGATTCATTTATTTTTTAAATAAATTCTCTTTTTCTTATAAATAAATTATTAAATTATATTTATTATTTATATTATACTTAATTAAATACGATATTTATTATTAATAATTTTTTAAATTTTTGTATAATAAGATAATAAAATAAATAGATTAAAAATATTTTTAATATATTTTAAAACAAATAAGAATATATTTTTAAGAATTTTAAGTATATTAATAAAATAAATTTATATATATTATTGAAGCAAATTTATTATATTTTTTTTTAAGTTTTAGAATAATGATTTTTCAATTTTATAATTATTTATTTAAATTGATCAATTATTTATGAACAATATCGATAAAAAATATTTGACTATAAGCACACCATTATTACGCTCCTGTAACAGCATAAAAGCACCATCTGTCGTTGAGTAAATGTACTAGTGTGATTTCGAATTAAAAATGGCTGACAGCGGGGATGCTGTGAATAGTACGTCGTCAGGAAAAGAGGCTAGAAATACCGTTACTGATGGTCCTGTCACTGATCCAGCATCAAACAACAAGGTAAATTTAAAAATTCTGTCACCTATATAATTAAACAAATGAATTATTTTAACTTGAATTATAATAATATAAAATCATGATAATATATTACATGAGTATTGTATTTTACCGCCGTACTAAATTTTTAATTAATTAAATTATTTATAAAAAATAAAATATATATTCTTTTTAATTTATATAATTGTTGTAGAAAATAAAAGGATAGTATATTAGTGAATTTTATTTTCGTTATTGTTTTTATCTTTCTATTTTATAAATTATTTATTTAAAACCTTCGATTTACCTTTATCTCTTTTAACATGTGTTTTGTTTTTTTTGTCACATCTTAGCCCAACCCTTTCAAGTCTTATGACCACATGTTGCTATTATGTAATGCAACACATGGTATTAATTGATGTATGGTCTTATATATACTTTCTGTTTATTGTCAAACAAATAACTTCCACCTATTGTTATTGCAAATTACATTTCATTATGAAAAAATTTCATAAATTTATTACTAAAAATAATTTTTAAATTTAATTTTAATTTTAAAATTTTAAAATTTATTAATCATATGATGCCAATAAGTATAAAATGTTATTTGAAATTTTTATTTTAAATGTATAATCATAAGAATAATAAAAAAAATAATTTATAACTTTTGACTCACAAACATATTTTTTAAAAAACTATTATAATTAACACTTCATTAATGTTACACAATATAGAAATAATTTTATGGTAATTGATATGAAACTTGTAAATAATTCATATACATAAGACCAGTTGTTGAGACAATAAGAAACAATTACTGTATCTTTCTTCTTTGCTTTGTTTTATATACTTTATTGATATTTTATATTTCAAAATAAAAATGTTTCATATAATTGAAAATTTTTTATATTATTTTTTTTATTTATTTATAAAATAAAATAATATAAAAATAGAAAATTTATTATTATTCATTATTATTTTAATGAAATTTAAAAAATAAAAGATTTTTAACGTTTTTTAATATATTTTCTTTTAATTATATCTCTTTTTTTATATATCTCTTTTTGTACCAAAAAAACACAAAAAAATATTTAATTCTTTTATATTTTATATATATATTTTTTTCCTTATATTATGCTATTATACTTTATAATTTTAATTGTATTATGATAAATATATATATATATATATATATCTTTTAATATCTTGAATGATTTTAAATCATTGATGAATTTGGTACATAATGTATTTATAATTTTTACTTTGATAATGCAAGAATTAAAAAATGATTTGCATGCATACATAGTACCTACTATCAGGGCGCTTATATTATTTTACATATAGAGCATTATTCACACAGTAGTCCGTAGGTTCGGTACCAATCACTCATTCATCGCTCATTATAAGCCTAAATATACCATATAGGCGTGGCACAATTAGCATTATAGAACAAATGAGTGTAATAAATAAATATATGAGGAATAATTATAAACTAAAAAGGGAGATCTTTACATACATAAAACTGATATTTTATGTAATTTGAATTTTACATACAAATACAACCTTTGGGAGCTTTGTACCAAACTACGGACTGTATTATAAAAATTTGACCCAATTTGAATTATGAAATGGTGGTTGTTGTGATTTCAGAGCTTAGAGGCATCAAATAGTGCCTTTCACGGCGCGAGAACAAAATTAGTAAGTAAGAATATACGTGTACAAAACAAGTAAACTTGTATTCCTTTCCATAAAGCAATCCTTATAATTTCCTCAGGGCTGCTTTAATCCCTATGATTACATAAATATGATATGTGCCAATGGATTTATCATTTTGTCCTCTCATCAAATAACACAGGATAATAAGACGACTTTTCTCTAAAATATAATTGAAGTTATGAATAATTCATTCATTTATTGTATTAGTCTAATAAAGTAATATAAGTAATATAAATATATATATATAAGAAATATATATAGAAAAAATTATTAAATTTCGTCTATATTAAACTGTGTCCATTCTATCAAATAAAATAGCTTCATTTACATTTTTATGTTTGTAGTCTATTTCCATCTATTGCAGCCCTTTTTGAGATAAAATATTCATAATTTTATAATGATATATGATTTAATCTTTTAAATGTTTAGGATTCTAAGTCCGGAGCCTTGAAAAAGTCCAGTCGTTATCGCAGTCGCTCTTTGTCAGCTAGTAGCACAGATAGTTACAGTTCTGGTATGAATGCATTCATTTTTATATTGTATCTATAATTAAAAAAAATTATTATTAATTTTTAATTTTTATTAATATAATAAATTTATTTTTCTATTATATTAGCATCTTATACAGCAAGTTCATCAGATGAAGATGATGTATCACCTCGAGAAAAAATTCAAAAAACAGAGAATGGTTTTATAGATTTTTGTGTACGCAATATTAATCAACATGCATTTGGTAGAAGAGAGATAGAAATAGCAGAACAAGAAATGCCGGGAATTATGGCACTTCGTAAGCGCGCTGCCGAAGATAAGGTATATAAATTATCTGCAATAAAAACAAAAAGTTAATTGATATTAATATATATAATAAAAAATTATTTTAAACAGCCATTGAAAAATGCTAAAATTGTGGGATGCACTCATATCAATGCTCAAACTGCTGTTCTTATTGAAACTTTAGTTCATTTGGGAGCACAAGTTAGATGGGCAGCATGTAATATATATTCTACTCAAAATGAAGTGGCTGCTGCCCTTGCTCATGCTGGCTATCCAATTTTCGCTTGGCGTGGTGAAACAGAAGAAGATTTTTGGTGGTGTATTGATAAATGTGTAGCTGCTGAAAATTGGCAGCCTAATATGATATTAGATGATGGTGGAGATGCAACACATTTAATGCTCAAAAAATATAATGCTATGTTTAAGATGATTCAAGGTTTGTCTATCATTTTTTTTTTACAATAAAATAGATAATAATAATAATAATGTTAATTTTTAGGAATCGTCGAAGAGAGCGTAACAGGTGTACATAGATTATATCAATTATCAAAAGCAGGAAAATTATCTGTTCCTGCCATGAATGTTAATGATAGTGTAACAAAAACCAAATTTGATAATCTTTATAGCTGCCGCGAAAGTATTATTGATAGGTAAATTAATTAAACATCAATTATCGAAATGTTGAAATGCACTGAAATTCTACCATTAATTATATTTATTAATGTATCTTATTGTAGTTTGAAAAGATCCACAGATATTATGTTTGGTGGAAAACAGGTTGTAATTTGTGGCTATGGTGAAGTTGGTAAAGGTTGTTGTCAAGCTCTTAAAGGTTTGGGATGTATTGTTTATATAACTGAAATCGATCCAATTTGTGCTTTACAAGCAAGGTAGATAATCTGAAACAAAATAAAAATATATCATGTAAACTTTGATTATTCATACATGTATTATTTACAGTATGGATGGTTTTAGAGTAATGAAATTAAATGAAGTTATTCGAAATGTAGACATCGTTATTACCGCAACTGGCAATAAAAATGTAGTTACGCGTGAACACATGGATAAAATGAAAAATGGCTGTGTAGTGTGCAATATGGGACACAGTAATACCGAAATAGATATTGTACGTTCAAATTCTAACAATCTATAGTTAATTCTTCTAAAATTCGATTAGATTTTCAACTAGAGTGTAGGGAAAAATTCGTATTTCTTATATTTCAGAACAAAAAAGAAATATATTGGTAAAACATTAAGACTCCTTTAATATGTTCTTAACAGAACAGTTTACGCACGCCCGATTTAACTTGGGAAAAAGTAAGGTCTCAAGTGGATCATGTTATCTGGCCAGATGGAAAGCGCATCGTATTATTAGCAGAAGGCCGGTTAGTCAACTTGTCTTGTTCCAGTATTCCTTCGTTTGTTGTGTCGATTACAGCTGCTACCCAAGCATTAGCACTGATTGAACTTTTCAATGCACCTCCAGGACGGTATAAAAGTGACGTTTATCTGTTACCAAAAAAAATGGGTAAGTATAAAATATCTTTGTGTTTCATTAAGCATTGCATCAATGTATAAACTGTAATACAATAATACTATTCAATAGACGAATATGTGGCATCATTACATTTACCGACATTTGATGCGCACTTAACGGAGTTAACGGATGAACAAGCCAAATATATGGGACTTAATAAGGCTGGACCTTTTAAGCCTAATTATTACCGGTATGTATTATTTTATACATCTCCTAATATTATTATTTAAGTTTATTTATTTAAAATTATTTTAATTTATTTCAGCTATTAAAAATATATGGATAAGTGATATGGCATAGTATATGCAATATTTGAAATTTATGTTTATAAGTATTAAAAAATAGCTGCCTCATTTTATTAAAATCTTTTCTATTAATTTCGTCTAAATTAATAGAAACATATAACAAGGTTTCATGTTATCATTAATATTTTATTTTATTATTTTAAAAAAATATTTTCTTTATATTTCAAAAAGATATATACATATTAATTCTACCAAAATATTGCCTCCCATTACAATAATCAATAATTAATTATATATAAATATATATATTTAATTAACATTCAAAAGTGTATAGAACTTATTAATTTATGATTTGTGCATTTAGAAATATATGTGCAGTTGTTCATTCGAATTAAAGTACAAGTTTGCTAAATGCAGTTTTTACAAAAATAATTTAAAAAAATGTTTGCTGTAAAGATCTGTATACGTAAAGTATATTTAATGCTATAGATTATGTAATTATTTAGAAATTTTCATTGAGATTATTTTTGATGTATTAGATGTTACATTCTGCATTTTGAACAATATTTGGTAACATTGAAGATATGTACATATATATAGAGAATTTATTACAATTACAAAATATTACAAGATATTAATGAATATTAATGAATTGAAATACAATGACATATCTTCTGATGAGTTTATGTCTTTATAACTAAATCTAGTAATTGTTCACAATTGGTTACCGCAATCATGTATACTTGAATTTAGTATTTCTGATTTTGTTATTGAAAAAAAAGATGAAATTGTAAAAATAAAGCAGATAAAACTATGTACATAATTATTTAAGAAGAATTAGAAAAAAATTAATCCTTTTATAATTGGTCATATCATCCGTCGATAGAAAATAATGGAAAAATAGAAATGAAATAAACGTTTATGATGCCTTGAATCATGTGTTTATCTTGATTTTACCTTTTTATTATATTTTATAGAAAATAAAATTCTTATTTTTTAAATATAAAATTTAAAATATAAGTATGTGATTTAAAAAAATGTGATTTATTTTTATATTTCTATGAAAATTATAATTGATAAAAATTTAATTGTTTAAAAAAAATAAATTGTTTTCAATTTAAATAGATATAATCATAGTAAAAGAAAAATGTGAAAAATTAATATTTTAACATAACGAAAACTAAATAAAGACTTTACACACATAAAAATAATAAACTGTTACAAAAATAGACAGAAATATATAATACTTTTTCATATACTTTTATTATAATATGATATTAATTATTATTTTATATATAAAAAATAATAGAAATATTTATTAAAATATTAAATTTTATAGAATAAATAAAAAATATATTGATTTGATTTTTGATTTTAAATTTTGTTTTTCATTAATATAAAAAATTATTAATATCATAAATTAAAAACAAGGAATATATAGTAGTAGTAGATTTAATAAGTAAAATACATCACGTCGATATAAATGTTATATATTTCAGTATAATATTATAAAGTAATAGCTTCTAAAGTACTTATTAACAGCATCAATTGAAAGATAAAGTTTTACAAGATTTCTTTACTCGCGATCAATATATGAGTATTGAAAAACAAAACAACTTTGGGATTAATCTTAAAAATGAACCTAAATAAATGGCAAGGTTCAACGGCATGGCATACATAATGGCATAATAGCAGCGATCTATAAAAAAAACGAACTTAAAACACAATTTTATGTTATAAAGAAATAAATAATAAAACCAAAAAAATGTAGTAAAAATATATTTTACAATACTCTGTACAAGATCTTATTAAACTAATATAATTAGCTCGATGTAAATTATCATGAATCAGTTTATTAATCTTGGAATACTCTTAAAATTATTTTTTAGATTCTTTGATTAATAAAAAAGAAATTATTTCCTTGTTAAGAAATTATTTCCTTAATTACATAAAATTTAACTATTATTCTAATATATTAAATTTTAAAATTCATTTATAATTATAATTTATTTTGAAAGAGATTACAAGATTACAGTATTCCATGACTAATATTAGTATAGTTATTATCGCGGTGTCTGCATATTTCTGCAAAAAGACATTTTCATAATTTTACAATACTAATTGTCATTGAAACTAAAATTTATTTCATTTACAAACATTAATGTTACTTAAGAACAAGATAATTATTGCAAATAATTGAAATTTTTAATTTCCACAGAAACAAACAGGCACGTGTAAAATACGTAAAGTGAAATTTTGAACACTTTCCTTTCAATATTTTAACAACAAATATTTTAATGAAAATCTGATAATTTGTATCAACAATTCATTGCATTCTAAATATACATTAAGAAGAAAAAATCTACAATCAGGGAGTCCATATAAAAACATAATTCATGAAATTAATTATGTTTTATATAATAACATTTCAATACAATTACGTTATATATGAAAAAGAAAAATCACTTAATGATATTTACAAAAATTGATTACATTGTGAATCATTGCACTAAGATTGCTTTACATTGTATAAAATATATTTATACCAATTAATTTTATCAATTTTTTTTAATTTAATCAAATTGCCAATTTACTATAACACTGAGCTCCCGTAATATCGATGAAGATATATAATATAAAAATTATAAACATCTTAAAAAGCTATTTAACTAAATTATACTCTGTTTGACTACATAAAAAAAAATTGAGAAAAAAAGAATATACGTGTTTTATATATGCCTGTTTTCCGCAAGGCAAATTAATAGGGTAAATGTTTAATAATAGAAATGTCTTATACGTGTCACATAAATCATTGATATATCTTTTATATATCTTTATAAATTCATATATATAATATAATATAATATAATATATATACATACATATATATATACATATTATATTATATGTTATATATCATATATATATGTTATATTTATTATATATATAAATCGTTCACACCACAAATCTATCGTTTAAAATTTTTAAACTATATATAGACAGAATATATATATATATATATGTATATAATATATACATATATATATGTATATATATTTATAGTGTGCAATAAAGTAATTCTTTTTCATTTATAAATATGTAACAAAAATAGATAATAATAGATATATTATATATACAATGAAGACATGTAAAATCTAACAAAGTAGATGCGTTTATTTACTTTCTAAATCAATCTAGAAGCCTTTACCATGAAAAATATTTATTTTAATGAGCATATCTCAAAATCTTGCGTGCATTCGTGCATTTTACTTTTTGTTTTTACAAAGATAGCGATATATTAATGTATAACTTTATTTGTTTATTTACTTTTTATTTTTTTACTTTATTTTTCATTCTTTTGTATAATAAAAGATCCTTGTTGGATGGACAATAATTTTCTGTATATGAAAGATAAAAATATCTATCTTTCCGAATGTAAAAATAAATCCAATGCATTCATGACGCACCAAACGTATTTATTATTCATCGTCATTTAATTGTTTTTTCTTAATCCTTTTTTAATTTTATCTTTTTAATATTTTTATGAACTAAGTAGTATTTTTTACAGGTTACACGCAATTCATTAAATATTAGCGGCTTTTCTCTTAGTAACAACAATAACATACGAGTATATGTAAGCTCGCTCCAAAGAAAGTACCACAGATTATCAAATTCATCCGTGACACTCATTGAATAATATTTCATAAGTTCAAACAATATTTTATTATATAATCTTTATCTTCTTTTTTTCTACATTTTAACGAATATAACTTTTACAAGTTATAACTTAACAAGATCGGTAAAACTTGTTTGAGCTTGTGAAATAATTACTGCAAAAATCCTCCCAGGCCTTTTTTGTACTGATATATATATATATATATATATATAGTATGCTAGAATTTAATTATTCAATTGTTCGATATGAGGCAAAATACGATCTTATGCAATCGTAAATAATTGTTCGTATATTATAGAAAATAAAAAGAAAAAAAAATTTTTCTCTTTTGCTATTTTTTTATAAAGTGACTCAGAATATGAAAAGTTGATTTTACATAAGTTGAAAATATAAAATAAATTTTTTTCATTTAAGACTTTAAGTTCGAATAAATCAAATTCGAAAAATTTTCAAGTACTTATTTTAATTTATTCGAAAACGAAATTTCAAATGAAAAATTTTTATTCTATATTTTTAACTTATTTTTTTACATAAAATTAATAGTTTCACATATATTTCTGATTCACTCTGTATATCATTCTTTCTATATTTGATAATATAATCTATATAAAAATTCTTCGATAATTTGCAAAACAGTAATTAATACATTAAATGATATATTTCAATTTGTATAGTTTAGCATCAAATGATATGTCGATAGTTATTAACAAATTAACAAATTAACAATATTTTAACAAAATCATTAATGAAGAATCGAAGTTCGGTTAAAAAAACCATTCAATAATCATTCGTAAAGTATAAATCATTAAAAAAGGCCTGTAAAAACTCATGTACCCCATCAATGACTAGCTTAAGGTATTATGCATATATATGTATGTGTATATATATATATATAATCTTGCTCTTTTTAACATAATGTTTTAATGGCATTGCATAGTTCCTTAAAATTTTTGCAAAATGAGCTGCTTATAATATTTATTTCAAAATATCTTTATTTTGCATTGCTGACTGACAATTTGTTTGAAATATTTATATAAATGATTTTATCTCTTAAAATGATTTTTACCAAAAATTTAAAAACAATTTATTTACCAAATGAAATTGATCTAAAAATTATATATTTCTTTTATTTAAAAGATATGAAAATTTCATTAAAAGATTTTAATACAGTCAGCAATGATATTTAAAATATAAAAAATTATGTTATTTTTAATTATTTAAATATTTTCAATCGATAACAAAATATGTAAGAAACATGCAAAAATTTAATTAGTTTCAAAACTGCAATTTGATTAACTTTTTCTTATCTTATTATCTTTGACCCTGTACTTGTTAATAGTTTTCGTTTTACTGCGTACTTTCTGTCAATCATTGCTAGCGTTAGTAAGGTACTACAGGAACAATTTGTAAATTATATACAGATAAACAAATTGCGCATACGAATGTAATTTAACAAAAAAGTTGATATAGTTTTTGTACATAATATACGAGTTTAACAAACTAATGATTCAAAAAAATATCAATTCTTATCTCTTTCTTTTAGTTTTAAAAGAGATAGAAATTAGCAACTTTTTAATATTTTAACATTTTATAAGTAATTTATAATTGCAAATACTTTCTCAATTGATTATGAATATTTGTTTATTGGAACAATAAAAATATTTGTTCCTATAAATGTATAATTTTCAAATTTCATTGAGATTAAAAAAGAAAAAATTGATCGATATACATGTTATTACTATGCACGATAGAGCGAAAGAATGCATTTACATATATCGATAATTTATGTTATAAAATAATTCGTAACGAAAACATTTTTGAAATTTTTCAAATCGTTGTTTTGAACGTATTTCGAAATGTTAATATTACTATACAGAGTCGATTAAAAGCTTCACAATGATTAAATAACAATCTCTCTACAGTGAAAATTATTATACTACTATAGATAGCGAAAAATTTGATTGTTCAGACAACTATGAGTTGTTTGTCGATAAATGTATGCCACATAATTTATTTATAATTCTTACTCTAAATTCTTATTCTATGGCGTTGCTAGTGATCTTCAAATCACATTGTATGATAATATATGATACAAAAAAAAATTCATTTTATACATACTTTCACAAATGAGGGTGTTTCATATTCGATGTATCCTTATACCGAATATATAGTTTTACATACATTCTTCAATTTCTATTTTTAATTTTTCTTTTTTTTTTTTTTCTTGTTTCAGCCATTGATTCAATATCGAATCATGC